TTTTTTTTTTTCATTTTTTTTTTTTTTTTTTTTTTTTTTTTTTGTCCCTTTCGCGGAGAGAGACATGAGCGAGTAGGAAGTGTTGGAGAGTTTGAAGTGAACCGGCGGAGTGGATAAGTTGGCCCATGCAGTGAAAAAAAAAGAAGAAAAAAAAGGACACTACATTACGTCACACTTATACAAGCAGATTGACAATCCCGTGTGTCACAGCGAAACGGAAGGACGATGGTTCGAGTAGCCCACCCTCCATTCGATTTACAAAAAACGCAACACGGGAAAAAAGTGTTTTGTTATTGGCGCGCCAATTCACTTCATGAGAGAGATATATATATTCATGGTGGGGAAGCATGATGCATAATTGTGTAGCATGGGGTGCAGTTCCCCTCAGCGGTGCGGCTCCAGGCGTTTTACGAGCTGCTCCCACTTTTGGTATGACCAGGCAGTCAGCAGGGCCTGGTTTTTCCTTGGAGGAGGGGTATCCCCCGTGTGGCGAGCAGAGTAGTCGCCTCCATCACCATCGCCCCCGTCACCACCGAGCCCCTCCTCACTGTGTCTAAACAAGTCACTCGTTCGGATGCAGAGGACTTTATTGGCATCCCAATAGAATTCAATGTGTCCCTTTGAAACGAGGAGCGTGACCAGGAAGAGGCGGAAGGTGGTTTCATTAAACCCATTGACAGGATCACAATCAACAATGAATTGTAAAAAAGGAATATTTTTTTTTTTTTTTTCAGCTTGTCCTAACTTTTCTTTTAATCTCATGGACTGTTCATACGTTTCTAGTTTAATCTCCGGTTCGCTGTCATGTGTAAATTCTTTTAACTTTTTGTAGGTGGTGTTACCGAGTGTCTGCTTGTTCCTGTTGTTTGTCCTTTTCTGTTCTTTCTTGTGGAGACTGAATGCGTTTTCATTATCGAGGAAGAGGTTGAGAGGGATGGTGTCGTAACTGATGGGGCAGAAGGGGAGAGCGTTTACGCTGAAGTGCTTAGAGAGTTTTGTGAAGCTGAGTCGCGTCCTTCGTCCGCCTGCCGCTTCTCCCGCGTCTGCCGCTTCGTTCGCGTTGGCCGCTTTTCCCGCTCCTGCCACTTCTTCGCTGAACTGGGCCGAGAGGGTGTCCAGGATTAGTCTCAGTTTTTCCTTGAGGGAGATGCTGCTAAGTCCTTCCGCCTTGAAGTTTATAATTTTGGAGACTTGCTTTCCATACTGACATGACTTTTGCAGAGTACTTATTTTAGTGTCTAAATTAATAACAATCCTGCGATCAGTTTTAATTACTTTCTTCAGGGCATTGTTTTGTTCAGGCTGGACCAGCTCGTCCACGTTGAGCTTGTCAATTTCGCTTTGTATGTACTGCTCATCTATTCTTCCGGATCCCACAGCCCTACTTGCGCTTACCTCGCCGTCCTCCGACATGGCTTCGCGGTGGGCGCAACTCACACCACCGTTAGAACCGGGCCACGACTAGAAGCGAACCACGATGAGAAGCCAACCGCAGATTAAGCCTCCAACCGGACGGCATATTCACCCCGCCGAGGAACCTTTCCCCCAAAAAAAGGAAAAAAAAGCCAATCGCACTGAAAATAAAAGAGATCGATTTCCCTGCGTGTAATTTCCAAACTTGCCTCACGCAAAATGGAATAAAGAAAAAAATTTTCCAAATTGATCAACAGGGGGACAGAATTGCCCTCGATCTGAACAAGTGAAGGTTTCTTCCCTTTAGCCATAAATTTTTAATGTATGTAGCGAAAAAAAAAAAAAAAAAAAAAAAAAAAAAGGAAACTTTTTTTTTTTATTGCACAAAAAGGGGACCAATAAAAGGGAAACGCCTTCTTCGGAATGCACACATGAATGAAAAAAGGCAAGCACGCGGAAAGGGGGGGTTCTTCATGCGGGGAGATACAAAACGTATAAGCCTGTTGGCAGTTGCATGGGCACTTGCCCATGGCTCAGAGCAATTCACGACCCCGCCTCCCCGTCGCCTGGTCAAACAAAAGAGCGGCGACAAGGCGCCTCCGCGTCAGGGATGCTTCAACGATGCTTCAAGGGCGCGGTTACATGATTCCGTTGGTGATCCTCTGAAAGTAGTCATACTGGACGCTCCGGAAATTGTTGATGGAGGATTCAATGAGGGCGTTGATCCGTTGGATGCACTGAGGGGTGTGAAACGGGGGGCACGTATGTATATGTGCGTGTGTGTACATGCGATGTGATTAACGGTACACATACAGTGGTGCGGTGGGCGAAGCTGTTGGGGGCGCCGCTCATCTATCTCTCCCTGCCCTTACCACGTCAACAGCCAGGTTGGTCATGAAGCGCTCCTTCAGCGACTCGATGCAGGTCTGGGTGCCGTTCGCAAAGCAGGGGATTTTTAAAGCTGCGCAGGAAGGGGGGGAAATGGGTGTAAAATAAGCAGGTCGTTACGGAGTAGGCCGCTACAACGCCGCTACGGGGGGGAAAGGGTGCACCCACCAGGCATCATCAGCTCCACGAAAAGAATAATCTCCTCCGAGTGTTTACGAGCCTCGAGAAAGCCGCTCACGATGAGGCGCCTGAAATATTCGTAGTTTTCAGACTTCTCGCCATCCATGATGTCCAGGTACTCTTGCGTGAGCTTGAAGGGGGATGTTTCAAAGTTAACGTTGCCAGGGGAGTTGGTGAGCATGAACCCGTAATCTATGTGTATGAGGTGTCCGTCTGAGTCCAGCAGGAGGTTCCCGTTATGCCTGTCCTTCACTTGCAGCAGGTACGAGATGAGCGAGTACGCGGCGTGACTCTCGATGAAGTTCTGCAACGAGGGGGGGGGGGGTTAGAAGTGGGAGAAATGACGAAGCGGTGACGCGGTAAGTTACAACGTGCGTAACGAAGTGGAGGGCGTACACACCACGCCACGCCCGTTCCCCTACCTTCTTCGCCTCGAAAATGTAGTCAGCGAAAACGACGTTGAAGATGGTAGAAATGCTGTCCGCGCCAAACTTCCGCTTGAGGGAATCCACGGAACAAGTATCATTCACATATTCAATGATGCCAGAGTTGGCACCCGTAACTAAAATTTCATAAGGACGCAGCCACAGTGGCAGACCTGCATTCTCGAAAATAATTTTGAATTGGCGAATCAGTTGGGATGCCAAAAGTTCTTGTCTCAAGTCATCCCCACCTTTAACAATTACACATTTCAAATCCCACGTTTTTAATTTTCCATAAGGAGAAATTTTTTTTATTTTTTTTTTTTTTTCTTCAAATAATTCTCCCCATAAAAGCCTCTTAATAATGCGACAGTTTTTTTTTTTAAATTCTTCATTTGTATAATTTTCCGGTTTAAAATATTCACTGATGTCTAATGGGTCGCTTGTGTTTTCCCCTGAGTAGTAGTAGCTGTTCTGTGGGTGGGTCATGGTGGTGGTGATCGGCTCACTGGGTTGGGCTGTAACAGTTTCATAGCCGACATCCTTACCCGTGGAGGGACTACATCCTCCTCCATCTTGACCTTCCTCCTGAACATTCACTTTACCTTCATACAACCCTCCAGGCGGCAAGTCACCCAGCTCACTACTAACACTCTCCACTGACGTTTTCACTTCATTGCTCTCGTTGTCGTTCGAGCTGATGTTACATCTTTCGAGGGAGCTGCTTATATAGTTTGGCATGGAGGCCGAGCGTGGGGTTACTAGGAAGCTCTTGGTTACCTCCCGGATGCTTCCTTCCGTGGGAGTGGCACCCCACTGGGGGCCCCCTTGGTCTAGGTTGCTTGGTTCTGAGTCTGCCTCGCCACGATCGCCTACCTCCTCGCCGCACCCTCCTACCTCTTCTGTGCTGTCTCCCTTCACATCACCTCCATCTTCGTCCTCCTCGTCTGCCCTCATCCCAATGCACTTCCTAATTATAGACAAGCTGTCCTCCTCAGCTGAGGGGAAGGAAATCAAATTCTCCTTCCGCAAATCATTAACTATACAGCTGTACACATACAGGTGCTCCATTTTCAGAGCGTCCATATTTACATCAGTTTTTTTTTTCTTGAGTTTTTCCTTCTTCATATCAGCTTTCCCTTGTTCGACTTCTGAATCACTTTGGCCAGTATGCCCTGCTCCTTCCACCTCATCATCATCCTCCTCACTTTTTTTTTTTTTTTTTTTTTTTTTTTTTCTTCTTCTTCTTCCTCTTCTCATCGTACATACTTCCTCTCGGCTCGTAGTCATAGGAGCTGCTGTTTTCGTTAAAGAGCCCGTAGTTTTTTGAAGAACAAAAGTTTTTTTCAATCCGGTGGCCCTTCCTGCGTGGTGGCGGCTGTCGCGTCGGTTCGTCTGGGGACACATCCTCGTACACATCGTCCGCAGCGTCAATCGCGCCGTCACTCATGTGAGGCGTTGCTCCAGTTGCGGCTCCACCCGCTGCTACGTTTTCCCCTGAGTGGGAGGTCCCCCTGGTGGGGTAAAAGAGGCTATCGGGAATGTCACTGATGTCCTCGTCCAGGTCGGCCACCTCAAACATGAGCAGGTACGGAGCCCTCTTCTTCGAGAAAAATATTTTACATTCATCATAGTTGAAGTGTAATATTTGCAAGCTGCTGCTGTTGGTTGTCTTTTCCGCTCTATGTCCTGAGTGGGGAGAGGACGACAAGCACTCCAGGGGAATACACAGCCCCGTCATGGCAAACACATTTGTGCATGCAGCAACGATACACCTGCGCATGAGCATCCAACTGTTTAATGAGTATATGAATCTGTTGAGCAATTCATTTCGTATTTCAATGTCGGGTTCTGTGGAGAGAAGATTCGAAACTGATATTGTCAGGTTGACGAAGTTATTCAGGAGACTAAAGTAATCACACCTCCTTTGCTTCATAAAAAATTGTTGCAGATCTTCAATCATATTAAAGCTGCAATTAAATTCCGGCAGGAAAAACTTGGAGGCACTTAGGGGATTGCCCAGCTTGGCGTAGGTACTGGGTAACTTCACTTTGGCCCTGGCTATGGAGAGGGCCCCTGAATTGATGATGTAGCACTGGGGCAGCTTGGGGGGCGGAGCCGTGCTCGTCGCTTCCCTTTTGCGGCGCTTCTTAGGAGCGTCACCTGGAGCGGCGCTGTGTCCCACCGCTTCGGCGTCACCTTGCCCGACCGCTTGTACCCCACTTTGCACCCCTTTCAACAAGTACGAATTACATGACCTGTTCAGGCAATTTCTAAACAACTTCGTCTTCTCAAACCGCTCATTGGCTTTTATCCTTTTAATGATGTATTTCCTTTTGAAGAGAAGAGGATGAGCGAGGTTCAGCAGGTAGGACTGTTTGTTTTCATTCCCCGAGGTACACTTAGTGTTAAATGGCTTGCAATTCACAACAGCCATTTCAATCTCTTGTGTCATTTTATGAGCCAAGTCTTTATACTGGGAACAGTTGTCCTCCACTATGGAGTGGTATATCCAACTTAGTTTCAAAGCGAAGTGCATTGATTTACTAGCTTTATAAAGAAGGAAGCGATAAAGGGAAGAGGACTCATAACGGACAAGCGAAATTTGACTCAGCTGTGGTAGGTAAAATAATATGTCCTCATACCTCCTCTGCGTGTAGAGCGAATTTACTAGGTACTCATGAACTCCCACCTCTCTCCTGTCATAGAGGTATCTGATGTGGAGGTGGGTGTCGAAGTATTCACACCTGAAGAGCCTCAACAGACTTCCTTCCTTTAATGCATTCTTTGCTCCGTTCATCTTACTGTCTGCCTTCTCCCTGTCGTTGCTACTACTTCCTTGTTGTTGGCTCCCCGTCCCTTCGTCTTCCTCTCCCACATTATTCCCACCATGTTTAAGCTCGTTTATGATCTTGGGCTTGGAGGATGGTGACTCGCTAAAAATGCGAGAGATACTTTCCCGTATCTGCGTGCGGTGGTTGGGGGCACTGGGGGAGGAAGCTCCTTCCAAACGTTCAGGGTCATCGTCACGGTAATCGTGACCGCCACAGTCGTGAACATCACCACGAACATCAGAGACATGGCGACTCCTGTTCATCTCCTTGCTCTCCAACTTCATCTTAAACAGTTCGATAATTTTATTCTGCTTTTCCGTGGGTTGATTTTCCCCCTGCATTGTGTGTACTTGCCAGCTTGGCATGTCTTCACTGGGGTGGTTACTGTCATGTGGCTTGTTCTTCTCCTCCAGGTGAGCGTCACTTCTGTGACTACCGTGAAGGGTGTAATTATCATCGGAGGGAGTACAGAGGTCGGAGTTTTCCCTCTTCTCCTCATTAGCATAATTAATATTGTGGACCCCGGCTTGGGAGTATGTTGTGTCGTCTGGTTGGTGGTCCTCCATTTTGTCACTTCCTACATGCACGCATTGATCGTCTTCCCTTGAAGGATTTGCTTGGTCAATCTTATCGACTGCAACCCTGCTTGGGTTGTTCCTCCTTGTTCCAGCGACCTCCTGAAAGTTCGCATTTTTCTCACTTGGCTCTCCGACAGGTGCGTCATGACGTGTACCATGTACATCATCATGCATATCATCACGTGTGTACCCACTCGCTGGGAAATCTCCCTTTGATGAGTCTACACAAGGCTGCGGTTCACTGCTCCCATCGGCGTGCACCTCACCTCCACGACCTTTTAATCGAAGGCAAACAAAATCATCCACGTACATGTGCGCTCTGTAGTTGTGTTTGTACAGAGACCTATATGATGTGCCCTCTTCTGGTGGGGAGGTGGGTTTTTCCTTTTGGTTACATTCTGTCGCTGTTGAGAATTGGCAACTTGGATCAGCGTCCTCGGTTGTATTGCCAGCATCTTCCTTGCTGGTCTGTCCTTCTGCTTTGCGGTCTGCTTTGTGGTCTGTTTGGCGGTCCATCTTGCTCACTGCGTCGCTTCTTGTTTGTTGTTTTTTTTTTTTTTTTTGTTTTGCCAAAATGGCTAGTTAAACATGCAGAAGAAAAAAAAAAAAGGACACCCCTTTTTTTTTTTTCTGTTCAACTTGGAGAAGTGTACCAGCTTTGGTGTGTTATCCTCCCCCAGTGGTATCACAATCATACCATGTTGTTTTGGTGCACGTTTGTGACATATTCTGCCTGACTGGGTCAGGTTATATCCCTGCGGATTCCTTTTCTCTCCCTTTGTTGCCCTGAACTTGGTCCCGTCGCTTAAACCCGGAGTTGCAAACGCGCAGGGGAGGGGAGGGCATAGTTGACTCCCATGTTATGCTCTCTGTAATGTCAACATAACTGCTGCCCGGTTAGTGTCACTGATGTGAGCTGTTGGGTGCAGATCCTTCGTGTCGCGATTGCGTAAGCTTAACCTCTCGTGCAGCTGGCAAAGCATTCGCAGATGGTTTGACATTGTTTGGAAGCGGCATGGGCATATGGGCTGGGGAAAAGTTTCTTTATTTTGCCGACTTTTTTTTTTTTTTTTTTTTTTTTTTTTTTGCCCCCGTGCGGCGGAAAAATTGCTCGCAACTGGGTCGTGCGAGAGAAGGCGGTAGGCGAATAACGCCGAGTCAAGGGGCGGCGGGAGCAGCCTATGGATCTTAAAATGAAAAAAAAAAAAAAAAAAAAAACGTGCGGGGAAGGTATGTGCATACGACATGGTGATCTGTTTATTAAATTGTTTTTTTTTTTTTGTATAATTATTTGTCCTCCTCTTTTTAGAGTTCCTTTTCGCGTTCTCTCAGTTAGCCCGTTATCCCAATTTTCTACTTCACGGGGTTTGAAGAGATGTCCGCTCTCGACTGACCCCACACAGCTGTGCTTTCCCATGTGCAGCCACCGTTGAACGTATACGCAGTTAGTAGGTGTTTCGTCCTCTGCGGTAAGGCGATTTGTATGTGAACCTCTGTGGAAGGGGGTGGCGCTAATGTGACAGATATAAACTCCACCCAAGCGCGCCCCTCTCCTTTTGGCATTTTTTATACATTCCTCTCTCCTCCGTGACGGTTACACGCTTGCACCCCGAGGACGGCAAAAACAGTACACCTAGGACAGATGGCTCCACTGTTTTTATTGCAACCACATGTGCCCCCCGTCCCCTCATCACTTCCCCATGGTCACTACGACAAAGGTTACTTGCTAACGTGGGCGCTACTTTTCAGCGCTGCTCATGTTTTCCCTTAGCGGAGTGTGAAGAAGACCTGTTGGTGACCCCAAATTGGAACAGCCTTCTGGTGGAGGACACTGCATATTTTTGTTCCCTCCGATGTTACCTGTGCAGTTTTTTTGGTACCACGTCTTAAGGGGGAGAGAGTCCACACGGGGGGGAAAGACATAAATGAAGCATTTGAAGTGCCAAATAATTGGTGAGAAACGGAATGCAGTTAGTTCCCTTCCGCTTCCGTCTCCTCTTCTTGTTGCGAATTGAAAAATGAGGAGTGATGGACTCATTTTTATTGGCCACCTGGGGGGAGGGAAGAGGTGTATGTACCCCTCCCCATGACAGCGGGAGCCTCCGCGAATGACCATTCGAGGGAAATGAACTCTTCTATCTGGTGTGAAAAATAAATAAATGAATAAAAGATGGCCATTGCTGCCGTCACGTAACTCTTGTTCCTTCTTCCCTTCTAAATGATATGCTGAGTTGTGTTTTCTTCGTGTGTCTGTCTAGCAAATTTTTTTTTTTTTTTTTTTTTTTGTGTTTAGTAAACGAAAGAGCGTTTCGTTTATTGCTGTAGTTGTTCCTTTGGCAGTTTGTTTTGCAAGCAGCCAATTGGTGTGGAGTCTCCACTGGTTTGGCACGCCTCTTCTCCGCATACATTTGTACCCATCCCCCACCCGTGACACCCTGTTGGAGGAAAGGGAAAATGGGACCCGAGTTCAATCCCTTCGCTTCGCCACAAACTGTGATTGAGGACTCCGTCAAAGGGGAAACGGATTATCTGAACAGAAAGTACAAACATGAAAAATTAAATAAAAAAAGGGGAGGGAAATATATAAATGATGAAAAAGTCTCTCAGATTGGATCTGTCTCCCTTTGTAGTGTGTCCCCTTCACCCCCATTTAAACGTCGCTATAGCATCTGTGTGTAACGTATGTCCGCAGGGGTTCCACACTCCGGTGTTGCTTCTACAACTTGTGTGGATTCACCGGTACATCTCCGTCTGTACTCTTTTTCCGCTTGAAGTGAAACGCTAGAAAACTACCTGAGTCTGTATGATGAGCCCATGAAGCGGGGACTGAACAGCGTAAAGGCAAACATTCAAGTGAAGGACGATGCATGTTGCATGGACTCGATAATATTCAACGACATGGAGATGGGAGACGAGAACTACAGTGTGCTTGACCAAGGGGAGGGGAGTTCTTTACAAAGTTTTCCTGACTCCGGGTAACTTTATTAAGACGATAGGACGATGTGCATTTTGTTTTGTTCCGTAATTTCAACTAGGGTTGCACTTGTAGAAGGTCCTCTCCTCTCTCTACCTCCCCCCTTTTGGTCCCTTTTTCCCTTCGCAGAGATGGTAGTCTGAGCGACACGGGTGCCAACGAGACACCCTTCCAGGAGCGCAGGTATGGCGCGCGTGAGTTGGCACTTGTCTGGCTGCCCGTTGACCTCACAATCGCGTGATGGCGTGACCGCATGACGGCGTGATGGCGTGATGGCGTGACCCCATGACTGCATGACCGTGTGACCCTTTTTCAAAGCGGCGAAGACGCGAAGCGCACACCAGAAATGGAACTTGTCCTGGAAGACAATTTCGAGTAGAGCATTTTGTAAAGAGGCCCTCTGTGCCGTTTGGCATTGAGGGCGGCCTATCGCATCATTTTACCACTTCTACCGCTTTGCTTCTTTGCTTCTTTAGCTGTTTGCCGCTTCCACCGCTCCCACCGCTTCGCTGCAGAGCCCGACGCAGTGACAACCTGTTCGAGGTGCAGAGTGGACAGCTGGCCGAGAGTCCAGTCAGGCAACTAGAAAGAGAAAAGGAGGAGGATGAGTCTCCCACAGGTGTAGAGGTGAAGTCAGTTGGTGATGTTCGTGAGATCAGCCACGCTGGTCAGCTGGACGATCTTAACAGCCTTTGCGACGTAGGCCAATTTATAAATCACAAGAGGAACGCTTTTAGGTGAGATGCACAGAAGGTTCGTGCAAGTCTTACACGCGGTGAAGTGAGTGAAGAGTTCGCCACAGGCGCCACGTGTTATATCCCCCTGGTGGCCCCTTTCCTCCTCTCCCCCCCCTTGCAGCAGTGCACGTGGAGAGGTGCGCCAGAAGGACGACCCCCAGCCGGGAAAGCCCTACAGTGATGGTGAGCAAGAAAGGGGGAGGCAACCCCACCGCTTCTGCCCGCGCCGCTACACAATCTCACCGCTGCGCGTGCACCGCTTCTAACCGCGCCGCTTCTGCCCGCGCCATCCCTCCGTGTAGCAAATTTGCAGAGCGAAATGCCCTACGACGAGTGCGCCCTGACGAACGGGTTCTTTAACACGATTGAAAATATAAACACCAAGGTGGTGCAAAAGTACAAGAATTTAAAAGCAGTGTCCGAAGGTCTCATTGGGGTTGTTACAAAGTCTGACTTCGAGCACAGGATAGATGAACTGGTCAGGTTTAGTGAAAGGAACTCTGTGCTCATTGAACAGTTCCGCAAGCAAAGCGAGGAGTGCATTCGCCGGTGCCGCAAGTTTGAGACGTCGTCTGAACAGGTAAGGTGGTTTGAAGCGTGTGTGTGGTGACCACCTCTCTCGTTCAGTCGCACTCCCCCTTTTCGGTTTCCACTTCTCCCCTTTTTGTCCCCTTTTTTTCTGTCCCTCCACGGCAGCTGGTCGGAGAATGCATTGAGACCCTGGCGAACAGCAGCATCTGTTACGCAGAGTGGGTGTGCCTGCACGCGCGCAAGCTGGACCCGTTGGAGGTAGTGCTCTCCGACATGCAGGAGTTCGTCCGAGCGAACGAGTAAGGCAGGCGCCCCGCGTGGTGGGCGAGGTGATTGGGGAAGTACTTGGCGAAGTGTGACGTGCGACGTTTTTATAGCTTACCCCCCTACATAAAGAGCGAACCGGGGGTGCGCGGAAACGGGACGACGTCCCGGATGTTGCTCATGGAAGTGAGAAACATAATAAGCCTATCCATGCCAAGCCCAAAACCCGCATGAGGGACATTACCATAACGACGAAGCTGCAAGTATGGCTCATACAATGGCACATCAAGACCCTTCTCTTTCATTCTCCGCTCCAGTGTGTGTATCCTGATCTCCCTCTCTGACCCCCCAACCACTTCTCCCACTCCCGGAAGGAGCACGTCCATACAAGCAACTGTTTTTCCATCTTCATTTAGAGTCATGTAAAAAGGCTTCATGTCTTGTGGGTAGTTTATAACAACAACTGGGGAGCGAAAGTGCACGTCTGTTAAAAATTTTTGTTCCTCAAATGTTAAATCGCCTGTACGTAGGGGTACATCTGTATGACCCATATGCTCCTTTACCACTTGAACAGCTTCATCATATGTGATAACGGCGAAGGGTTTTTCCAGCACGTTTTGTAACTTCTGCTTCAATTTTTCATCGTGCTGTTCATTCATATAATTTATATCCTCTGAATTGTGTAGAGCAAATTTTACCATCGCCTTAATGTACTCCTCTGCCAAAGTAATGATTGAAGCCAAATCGGAGAAAGCCAACTCCACTTCCATCATGAGGAACTCGCTCAGGTGTCTTACCGTATTAGAATTTTCTGCTCGGAATGACTGGTTAAGAGTGAACACATCTCCCATGGAACAACAGAGGCACTCCAGGGCCAGCTGACTTGACACATTTAGGTAGCATGGTTTTTTAAAAAAATCACGAGAGAAAGGGGGAGTCTTTACTTGGTGGGGATGGTCGCCGTCTTCCCCATCTTCCCCTTTGTAAGGTTCACCAGTGCCACATCCATCATGATCATTCGCAATGGTGTGTTCAGCGTTGTTGGTCAGAGAAGCAGAACTGGTCATCCCCTTCTGACTCACCTGGGACATGAGCGTCGTTGCATGAAATAACTTTCCCCCCCCTTCACAGTCGTTGCTGGTTAGAACAGGTGTGTTGATGTACGTGCAATTTTTTTCACTCCAAAATTTGAACGTCTGTGTTATTATGTCTGACTTGAGCCTGAATATGCTGCTGTAGAGTTTGGTCCTGGCGCGGAGGTGGGGGAAGTTGCGCAGGTACTCCTTGGTGTGGTACTTTTTGGCGATTGCGTAGTGTTTTCCGCTTTCGCGTGTCCCCCCTTCGCTCACCCTGCCCAGGAGCTTCACATAGTGCGCTTTGGCTGCGTCCTGCACGCAGAGCTCCACCTGCTGCTTCGTCCCCAAGGAGCACTTGAGCTCCCCGAAGCACTCAACCGTATCATCCGTAAGCAATTGAGACACTTGTTCATAGTTGGAGATACGAGAGTCGACTACCACTTGCAGGTTTTTCACGTGGGAGCCATCGTTGACATCAACAAAGGAGAAGCGATTCTTACCGACTGTCCTCACCGACTTGACCCACCCACAAATTTTATATTTTTTCCCTTCACTTTGAGTCACTTGGGGGTGAAGAATGTCTTTTATTTGTGTTCGTCCGGTTGGTTCGAGGTGTTCAGAAGAGGAAGCAGCGTCTAGGGGAGCTTCCCCATCGCGTCCATCATGGTCTCCACCATCGTGTTGCTCACCATCCTTGTTGATACCCTGCGAGGCATTTGTCGTCCCACTCACTTTTGCGTAAAAGCGTTTCCTCACTGGAAGTCTGCTCCAATCCAATGCCCTATATGTCCCCCTGGAGATGTGCCAACTGTACTTTATATTATCCTTAAAAAGAAAAGCACCTCTCATGAGTGCTGTCCCCCCCTTCCCTTTTCTTGTCCTTGTTGTTCTTGTTGTTCGTATTGCTCCTCCCGGCAGTTGAAGTCGTGACCCCCTCTGACTACACAACTGAAGAGTCAATGCACTCGCTTGTACTCTTCCTTTACTCCTTTGTATACCCCTGGCAAGCAGCCCAAGAAGAGTGATGGAGACGGCTAGGTGAGAGAAAACGAGTCCCATTAACCGCTTGGCATGGTACTCGATTCAAGGTGCGTAGGGGTGGTGGTGTTCAAATCCGTGTGCAAGTATAATTTATACACCACGTTTTCCCTAAGTTGAAAAAAATGGGTACTCCCCCCTTTTTAATGAGAGCCTTTACACAGGCTAAGTGGATTGAACTGGTTTGGGCACACGTTCGGTCGGGATAACCCAGCCAATCGAGCCAATTGTCGTGGGGTTCCTTTTCAGTTCTTTTGGGGTGCGCCAAATAAGGTAAAAGTCAACCCCACATGAACAAAAAAAAAAAAAAAAAAAAATAGCTAGCTAGCCACATTTCCCATTTCAGGGAGTGAAAAAAAAAAAAAACAAAAAAAAAAAAAACAATGCCGCTTTGGGCTTCTCCGGGAGAGGAAAAGTGACTACGTGTGGAACGACAACAAGAATGACCGACCCTTGGGCGCACCAACAACAACTTCGCCTTTGCGACGTTGCGACATGGCGGGCCTCTACGAAACGTAGTTGTCGGGGTGCGCGTCGGGGGAGAAAACGCGAAACACTTTACGCGAGAGGGCCTTGCCCAGGCGCCGGTCCCCGTAGGATGAACTGATAATAAAATCACTTAAGCACTCTTCGTCGTCTTTTTTTTTCAAATGCATAATTAAGTCAAAGGGTGTGTTGAAGGCCTGTGCGATTTTTATCGAGGCATCTTCGGACAGGCCGCTGATTTGCATTAATTGAGAGACCCACGTGGAGAAATGTCTTCGTGTGTGCAGCGTCCCGGAGGCGGGCGGGCTCACCTTCCCCTGGCTCATATGTGAAAGTTTGTCCTGACTGAGCCCAGCCGGCTTCACCTTAAAATAGGAGTTCACTTTCCGCACCTTGGACAAGTACAAATATTTGCAACATTTGAATATGAACATGTGCAGGTGTTTATCGTTTTCCATTTCAATGGAGTCCACGTGATGACGAACAAGTAATGTCGCGATGAGTCTGTCAAATATTTTTTCATTCATCCTGGAGTGTTCTCCATCAAGTGGGTTGGATCCCCCCTCAGGGATACTCCTGCTGTCGCAGGATGCACTAACCTCCTTGTTGAAACTCGTCCTACTTATATATTCACGCACTCCTATGAACAGACAAATAATTTTAACGTCGTGTTCATATGCTTTTTGTATATTTTCAATTTTGCTCAAAATGGAGGTTAGTAAAAATGGACATTCCTCTTCCATATACGCTTCATCAATAACGACAAGTACCAAAGCTAGCTGGAGATCAGGCGACGGGGGAGTCTCCTCCATTTTATTATTTTCACTCAGCTCTATGTCTTCCACGCACCTCTCAGCTGTATCCTCCTGCTTCTTCCTTTCGTGATTTTTCACGAATTGAGATTTGTATGCGAAGTTGGTGTAAATGTGACAAGTGCGCTTTTCCACAATGGGGGTCGTCGTCCTACCCTCGCCATCCATTTGGCAGTGGCCCCCTTGAAGCATTTTCCCGTACTCCGTTTCATTCTTGTCCTTTTCCTCCTCCTCCTGTAACAGTTGCTGCAGGTCTGCGTGCACTTTCCCCCCCCTCAGATCTTCGCTGAGCACAATTCTGATATTTTCCATCAGGGGGGGGGTTGGCTATGTGAGTAGAGTGAAGGCGATGGTCGATGAGTGGAACACACCTTGCGGAGGGGATTGTACACACACCAACGAAGGGAGTTTACACATTTCGCGGTGGGCAGGAAGTGGTAAGCTGTTTGCGCTTCTCCCTGTGTATACTCCCGACTTTTTTTTTTTTTTTTTTTTTTTTTTTTTTTTTTTTTTTTCGCAGTAGGAGTCCCCCACCGTGTTACTTCAATTCACGCGGCAGGTCTTTCCTTCTCGTGCGCTGGGGTCAGACCTCGCCAGCCCTTTTTTT